CAGCAGCAGCCTCCCCTTGCTGCAGTGAAGATGGCACGGCACATTGAGATGATGGCACAGGCCCAGCAGAACCAGCAGAACTACCGGGTCAACATGAACGGCTTGCCCATGAACCCCCAGCAGCCACAGCAGCGCATGACTGGCCCAATGCAGCCACCCATGCAAATGGTGCCTGGGCCCCGGGGACCACAGGTCATGCAAACCGGAATGGCCCCAGGACAGTGGCCTGGAGCTGCAGGGCCCATTCAGGCAGCTCAGACTCAACAACCAGGTCTCGTCCCAGGCCAGACGCCACAGCAGGCCATGACCATGCAGAGAGCCATGATGACACCAGGGCAGCAGCCTCAGCAGGGCCAGAGGATGCTGATACCACAGCAGCCAGGTGCCCGGCCTCAAACACCCCAGAGACCTGGTGCTATAGCTCCCAATGCCCTGCAGGACCTCCTACGCACCCTCAAGTCTCCCAGCTCACCGCAACAGCAACAGCAAGTTCTCAACATCCTCAAATCAAACCCTCAGCTAATGGCTGCTTTCATCAAACAGCGAACAGCCAAGTACCATGCCAACAATCCACAGCAGCAGCAAGCAGGTCAGCAACAACAGCCCGGCATGCCTGCAATGCAGGCCATGGTCATGCCAGGAGGAGCAGTGCAGAGGCCGGGGATACCCTCTCAGCAGCCACAGCAACCTCCTGCGCAGGGCATGGCAGCTTTAGGGGTTCAAGGGCAGCTGTTGAACACAGCACACAACACCAACCCCCAGATCCAGGAGCTCTACCGTCGGCAGCTCTTAAGACAACAACAACAACAACAACAACAACAGCAGCAGCAGCAGCAGCAACAGCAGCAGGGAGTGATGCCTCAGGGCCACCCTGGCCAGTTCCCTGCACAAACGCAGGGTACGGCAGCAACATACTCACAGATCCGCATGCAGCAGCAGCAGCAGATAGCCATGCAGACAGGCCCAGGAGCTGGGGGTCCCATGGGCCAGCTCCCACCCTTGTCTCAGATGGCCCAGTCAGGCATGGGGATGGAGCCCACCCAAAACTTGCTGCATCAGCGAATGCTCCAACAGCAGCAGCAGCAGCTTCCCCAGCAGCAGCAGGCCGTCCTCAAGCAGCAGATGGGCTCCCCAGCCCAGCCCAGCCCAATGAGCCCCCAGACCCACCTGCTGGCTGGCCAGCCCCAGGGTGGAGCCCACCTCCCTGGTCAGCCCACACTAGCCAACACCCTCAGCAACCAGGTCCGTTCCCCTGCGCCCGTCCAGTCCCCCTGTCCACCGTCGCAACAGCAGCCACAGCCACCACATTCCAGTCCATCGCCGCAGGTCCAGCCCCAGCCCTCGCCACACTCGGGTTCCCCGCACCCGGGCCTCGGGGGCTCGCTGCAATCCATGGAGCAGGGACACTTGGGGACACCAGAACAGAGTGCCATGCTGCCGCAGCTTAACACACCCAATAGAGCGGGGCTGAACAGTGACTTGGGGATGGTGGGAGATGCTACAGGGGACACTCTGGAGAAGTTTGTGGAGGGATTGTAGCATTTCTGCTGGGAACACAATCTCACTCCCAGTGACCCATCCTCCCACTGCTCCTCTTCCTCCTAGCTCCCGTTCGGACTCTTTATGCTGTTCGCTTTGTTCTTTCTATGGTTGAGAATGGTTTTTTGTACTAAGTAAAAGTTTCAGCTGTTGTAAAAAGAAAATTTGGTCGAGAAAAATACAAGTAAAGTCAACACTTCTGGGGAATTGTTTCCTAAACCCAAGTGGAAGGGTATTTCCAGATGTTGAGTAATTTGCAAGATGCTTCTAAGATAAAATTTAAATCACAAAGAATATATTTTTTGGTTGAGATCAAATGTGTTCAATACTCAATTTTATTTTTGGTTTGTTTTTGGTATGTTTCATGCCTTTCTCATTCTTCTTTCTTTTTTTTTAAAGAAAATGTACAATTTCATTATATTATTCATATCTTTTTATTTTGTACCTTTGGAAAAAAAACTTAAAGCATTTTTGTGTTGAAACTGTAAAATAATTTGTCTGGGAATTGGGCCAGGTTTTTGTTCTCAAACTGTCACTCCTGGCAATTGTAATCTAGTGTTGTACCATTACTCCAAGACGATGCGTTCAGGGACAGAGACTGCTCCCTTCCTCTTTGTGTGTATGAAGAGCACTCACTTGTATTAAAACTAGGAAATGGACTGCGCCAGGTTGTGTATACACGTGCATGTATGCAGGCACACATGAAGACAGTGACACAAACCCTCACAGTCACTAAGAGAAACACAGCTTTGACTGGTTTCACCAACAAAGATGACAAAGGACTGCAACCTACATCTCAGTAGCCTGGAATTTGAAAAAAAGAAGTGTCTTGCAGGTGTAGAAAATTGTTGCTTTGACATTAAAAAGAATTTGTCATACATTTTTGTCATACAAATGTTGTAAAGTGTAAAGAGAGTGTGAGAAAAACCAGCCCCCTAAGCTGAGGTGGAATGATCACCGGTTGTTCGTAGGCCACATCTTGGATGATGCCCCTTCCTCTAAATTTTACACTAAGTCGTGTGTTATCTAGGGATGAAGGACACGTTTGAGATTCACCCTGGAAATATGTTAAATGTTCTGTCAACCCTCATTCCTCTCACACGAAAACTTGAATTAGGGGGAGTTACTTTTTCTCCTATTGTAAATCAAGTTATTAAGCAAAATACTATAAATATAAGGAAGAGAGAATGAAATCACTGTATATACTGGTTAAAGACTCATTTCTTACTTATATACCATATTGTTAAATAAACTGTGTGCAACAGAAGAACTCCAGTACTCTGTTGGCTAAATAATGAGGCATCACTCATGTTGGTTTGTGTTTGTTTGTTTCAACTTGGCAGTTTCTTTATTGTCCGGTCAGCAGCAACAATGTAGAGAAAAATTACTAGTAAAAATCTCTTTCTCAAATATGCAACTCTGGTTGAAGCCCTACGTCTGCACATTTCTGCAGCAAAAATTTGATCCTGATGAAACATAGTTGTGAGACTATTGTAGATGTCTGATTGGAAAGGTGTGCACATTTGCAAGTTTTGCCACTGAGGATAGTTTGTTGTGATGCAGCTCTTCTAAGATGGAGCTTTTTGGAGAATATAAAAAGGTTCATTCCGTAGGTTTTGTATCGGTTACTTGCAGGGATGTGTTGAAGGTTTAATACTCATCGTTGTCTCACCTTTTATTTGATTCAGTTCAGTCACTTCCAGTGTAAAGTATAAATAAATGACAAGGTCAGCTCTGATCGAGTATAAAGTAAAGACTGCATCAAATATCCAGAAAACACATTGAAAATAGAACAAATAATGCTTCCAGTCCTATTGGAAAA